CCTCTTCCCCCTTGATACCATGAAGGGGTAATAACCTCACAGCTCTGTGGGACTATCAGGAGCATGGAAGTTTAGCTGGCCCTTTCCAGACTGCTTTGCACCCAGCCTCAGTTCCCTCATGTGTGAAATGGCGCTGACTTCGGTCTGCAGGAGACAGCACTGGGGGAGAGGGGGTAGATGTTCTTATTTCATGTTTGTTTTGTTAGTGTTTTAAGGTTGTATTTTGCTTCATTTTTTGGATTTGTGAAGTTGAACGTTATCTTGGCTTGACCTTGGCTACCTGGTGCCAAGGCTGGTTGGAGCCCCTTCCTAGATAGAAGCCCTTTCCTGGGGCGAACTCCCCTTTGAAGCCAAACCAGGAAGTTCCTTCCCATCCCCAGTGGCGGGGGTGAGCTAAAAACCCTTACCTCTCCCAGCCCCGCCTTCTCTGGGCAGCCCCTGAGGCCCGAGGCGGGGGATGCACAGTTTTGGCCCCGCCCCTTTGAGCCTGGCCTTGATGTTGCCATGGGGACGGTGCTGTTGCCAGGGCGACCGCCTCCCGCGGGCCCCCGCCATCCATCACCCTGGCGGCAGCACTCCAAGCGGTGGGGCAGCTTGGCACCCCCAGGCCTGGGGAGGGGCAAAAGGGGTGCATACACCCAGTGTCCCTTCCATCTGTGACAGGGACATGGGTGAAGAGGGATGGGAATTCTCTTCCTGGGACTCGAGGGGCACATTGTTTCCTGCCTGACCTTCCCTTGCCCTGGCTCAGGTCAGCAGTGACAGGACTGCGTAAGTGAAGACACTGCCTGCCTTGTCTCCAGCCTGGCCAGCCAGCCACACAGCAGTCCCTGTGTCCACCCAGGATGGCCACCTGCCCACTGAAGTGGGGCTGGGCACTGTGCCCTGGGGTCTGGGCTGCTAGGTTGACTATACACCCCAGTTCTACTTCCTGGGTCGTTCTCTGGTGTCCACATTCAAGCTGGGAACCCAGGGACTGTGATGGGACCAGAGTTGGGTTGGTGTTTGAGTCTACTCTGCCATGACCTCATGTTGCCCTCTTTATTTTTTTTATTTTTTTTTTTTTTTTTGAGACAGAGCCTCAAGCTGTCCCCCTGGGTAGAGTGCCGTGGCATTACAGCTCACAGCAACCTCCAACTCCTGGGCTCAAGCGAGTCTCCTGCCTCCGCTTCCCAAGCAGCTGGGACCACAGGCGCCCGCCACAACGCATTGGCTATTTTTTGGTTGCAGCCGTCATTGTTGTTTGGCGGGTCCGGGCTGGGGATTCGAACCCGCCACCTTAGGTGTACGTGGCTGGCGCCTTAGCCGGTTGAGCTATAGGCACCGAGCCATGTTGCCCTCTTTAGACCTGGTTTCCAGCCATAGGCAGTGCCTGGCAGGCAGGGGAAACTGCAAGTGCAAAGGCCCTGAGTTGGGAATGGGCTTGTTGCTCAGCTAGCAAGTCCTGGCAACTGGAACAGAGTGAGTGGGTGGGCAGGGGAGACTGAAGGGGTGAGGGCAGGGATGTGAATGGGCTGACACTATTGTTCTTTCAAGGGCTGACAGGAGCCAGAGACACTTTGAAGCATGAGCATGACAGGGTCTGATTCTCATTTTGAGAGGCTGCCTCTGGTTGTGTGGTAGACAGGGGAGTTGGCGGGGGCGGGGGCAGAGAGGTAGCAGGGGACACTAGGCTAGGGGGATGTATGGTTGGTAGAAAGTGAGGGTCTGAGCCTCATGGGGAGGCGTAACAGAGGGGACCCTGTGTGCTTCACACAGTGCAAGAGGGCAGACCAAGAACTCTAGCTGATCTGGCCATTCAAGAAGGGCTCCTGGGCTCGGCGCCTGCGGCTCAAGCGGCTAAGGCGCCAGCCACATATACCTAAGGTAGCAGGTTTGAATCCAGCCTGGACCCACAAAACAACAATGACGGCTGCAACCAAAAAATAGCCGGGCGTTATGGCGAGCACCTGTGGTCCCAGCTACTTGGGAGGCTGAGGCAGGAGACTCGCTTGAGCCTAGGAGTTGGAGGTTGCTGTGAGCTGTGAAGCCACGGCACTCTACCCAGGGGGATAGCTTGAGGCTGTCTCAAAAAAAAAAAAAGAAGGGCTCCTAAGCCAGGCTGGATCAAGCCTTTCCCGAACTCTACCCAGCTGAACCCAGCCTTCCTGTAGAGGGAGAAGGGGAAGCTGCAGAGGATATAACCAGTGCTCCTGGGCCCCTAGGAGGCAAAGAAATGTGTAGGTGACACCTGCCAGGAAGGGAGTACTGGATAGGGTCACCTTTTGAGGCCTGAGAGTTGGACACTTCACAGGTCTTAGCAATGCTGGGAAACTGAAACCAAGTAGGGGAGGCAGGCAGGCAGTGTGAGCTCCAGGGTAAGTCTTGACCTGGGAACAACCTCTAAGGGTGGGGCATGGGGCAAAGCCAACATGCTGTGCAGTTTTGGGTGTCTCTTTTCATCATGAACCACAAGTGTAGGAGCAGTGAGAGGAGGGTCTGGAGCTGGAGCAGTCTGTGCCTCTGTTTTTATGTGGATGGGGGAAACTGAGGTCCAGTGGGGAGCCAGGGCTGCAAGTGGCTCCAGGCCCTGACACCAGACTAAGGTGTATTGGTAGTGGCAGTGGAACCAAAGGATGGACTGTAATTTCAGTCTCTATGAAGATAAGGGGTTGGGAGAACCTGGCTCCCATGCTTACACCCCCTTGTTCTTGCCAGGCCCTGCCCCTTAAGACTGGGCCCCCCCACCCGCCTGGTGCTGCCCAGAGTGGGCAGCCAGCCCTGGGACTACTCAGGATTTGGAGTAGACAACTCAGAAACTCCCTTCCTGAATTCAGGACTCCTTCTCCTTCTCCTCTTCCTCCTCCTCACCCTCCTCTGCTGCGTGTGCGCACGCCTGCACATTCCTCTCCCTGCCTGGTGTTGCTGCAACCCCTGGGAGCCTGAGGGTATCATTATGTTCATTGCAGGGAAAGTGAAGGCTCAAGCTCAGCCTTGGTGCAGGTCCTCATTGGTCCCTGCATTTTACTAAGTTCCTACTGCATGCAGCTTTTGGGGACCCTACAGGAGACCAAGAGCAGGATAGGGGTTCTGCTGGTCTTTCAGTACTCTGCACATACTGTCCAAACTTAACCCTAACCCCCGTTCTGCCAGATGGGGGTTAGGATTAGGTTTGGACAGTATGGGCAGGGTCCTGGAAGAAAGGTTAAGGAAGCACACAGGCTGGGTTCTATCCTGAGCAGTGACTACACAGCTCATGCTTGGCAGGGCTCAGGGGAATGTACAGGCCAGGGTGTGGGGCAGAGATAACACACTCTCCAGTATCCTGGGCTTCTGCCCACCCCACAGAGGGCCTGTAACCTTGGCAAACATGAAGCTGTTTCTTCAGGTGCATCTGGTAACACTGATGTTTATTAATTACCTGATGCATGCCAGTTCTGGAGATTAAGGCTAAAACCTCACTGGGAGGGCTCTCCAAAGACATTGCTTGGATGAGAGCAAAAGTCTAGGGTTGAATCCTGACTTTGCTTCTTTGCTGTCTGTCCTTGGAAGGCTCACCTCCCTCTCTCCACCTTTGAGCTCTTGGGAGACTCCAGCAGAGGCTGGTGTGAGATGCACTGAAGCACATATAAGCCCAGGATTGGGTGGCTGGGCTGGTGGATCTCACATCCTCTATGTGCCTCTCCTTGAGCTACAGAATAGGTCTTAGTAGGCAGGAGGGTACAGAGAGAGCTGTCCTGATCAGTCTAATGGTGTTAGCCAGGAGGTGAACACCCTTCTTCCTGAAACATCCTTCTCTGGCCTTTGGTTTTTTTGTTTTTTGTTTTGTTTTCTTTTTTGTAGAAAAAGAGTACTGAAAGACTACTTTATGGCCCTCAGTAGAGTGCCATGGTGTCACACAGCTCAAAGCAACCTCCAACTCCTGGGCATAGGCGATTCCCTTGCCTCAGCGTCCCAAGTAGCTGGGACTACAGGCGCCCTACACAATGCCGTGGAGCAGCAGTTTTATTTTTTGTTGCAGTTTGGCCAGGGCCAGGTTTGAACCCACCACCTTCGGTATATGGGGCGGCACCCTACTCCTTTGAGCCACAGGTGCTGCCCCCAGTTGTTTTTGTTGTTGTTATTGTTGTTTGTTTGTTTGTTTGTTTGTTTGTTTTTTGAGACAGAGCTTCAAGCTGTCCCCCTGGGTAGAGTGCTGTGGCATCTCAGCTCACAGCAACCTCCAACTCCTGGGCTCAAGCGAGTTTTCTGACTCTGCCTCCCAAGTAGCTGGGACCACAGGCGCCTGCCACAATGCCCGGCTATGTTTTGGTTGCAGCCGTCATTGTTGTTTGGCGGGCCCGGGCTGGAATCGAACCTGCCACCTTGGGTGTACGTGGCTGGCGCCTTAGCCACTTGAGCCACAGGCACTGAGCCTGTTTGTTTATTTTTGAGACAGAGTCTCACTCAGTGGTCCTGGGGTTGAGTGCCATGGTGTTATAGTTCACAGCAACCTCAAACTCTGGAGATTGAGCAATCCTCTTGCTTTAGCCTCCTGAATAGCTGGAAACTGGGACTACAGGCGCAGGGCACAATGCCCAGCTAGTTTTACTATTTTTAGTAGAGATGGGATCTCGCTTTGCTCAGGCTGGTCTGAAACTCCTGAGCTCAGGCAATCCGCCTACCTCTGCTTCCCAGAGTTCTAGAATTACTGGTGTGAGCCACCATGCCCAGCCCCCTCTCTGGCCTTTGATGCCTGGAGAACTCCTATGCATACTTTATGGCTCAGCCTAGATGCCCCTTCTCCCTAAACCCTTCCTGGTTGCTACCCAGAGCCTCTCCTCTGTTATGGCTCCTTCAGTCCTTGAGAGGGCAAGGCAGGGCAGGGTCCTACTTTTCAGAAAGTAAACAGGCTGAGAGGTATAATAGCTTTCCCATGGTCATCTAGATGGGAAGAGACAAGGTTGAGACTCAAACCTTGTCCTGCTGAAAGCAGGGGAGGGTAGACCAAGGCTGATCTTCTCTCCCTCCCCCAGGGTCCTGGCGGCAGAGACCACATCCCAGCAGGAGCGGCTCCAGGCTATTGCGGTGAGTTCTTCCTGCCCTTGGACAGGACAACCTCTGGGGTTTCAGGGGCCCTCCTTACCAGGCCTGGGACCCAAAACTAAGGGGTGGTAAGGGGAGAGGTATTTGCTTTGGAAGTTAGAGTCCCACTAACACTTCTACACAGAATGAAAATAAATATGGAGACCCCCTGACTCCTGAGTCCCTTAGACCACTGGCCCTCCCTCTACCTTTTGGGTAGGTGAGGAAACTGAAGTTTCCTCATCATGGAAAGGAAATAGGGCTCGGTGCCTGTGGCTCAAGTGGCTAAGGAGCCAGCCACATATACCTAAGGTGGCAGGTTTGAATCCAGCCTGGGCCTGCCAAACAACAATGATGGCTGCAACCAAAAAAAAAGGCGCTGTGGTGGGCGCCTGTGGTCCCAGCTACTTGGGAGGCGGAGGCAGGAGACTTGCTTGAGCCCAGGAGTTGGAGGTTGCTGTGAGCTATGCTATGGCACTCTACCCAGGGGGACAGCTTGAGGCTCTATCTCAAAAAAAAAAAAAAAAGGAAATAGGTTTTGGTGGTGGAGATGTGCTTAGGGTTATCTGCCCTCTCCTAGAAGCCAAGAGGCCAGAGGAGTCCACTTGGAGGAAGCAGGGTGTCCCTGGGTGGGGCTTTGGTTGGGTGTGTTGGGGTTTCTGTAGCCCCGACACCAATACCGTTCACTCCCCACAGGAGAAGCGGAAGCGGCAGGCAGAGATTGAGAACAAGCGCCGACAGCTGGAAGATGACAGGAGGCAGCTGCAGCACCTGAAGGTAGGGGTCGGGGGAGATGGGTGGCAGCTCCAGAGGGTGGCAGTGGCGTGGAGGAACTCCTGGGCCAACCCTGACCTGGACCCATGCCACCCTAGTCCAAGGCCCTGCGGGAACGCTGGCTGCTGGAGGGAACACCATCCTCAGCCTCGGAGGGGGATGAGGACCTAAGGAGGCAGATGCAGGAGGACCAGCAGAAGGCGCAGCTCCTGGAGGGGTCCATATCCAGGTGGGTGGTGCCCAGGCTTCACTCTGCTGGGTCTGAGAACTTAGCATCGCCCCTTTGTCCCCTGACACCTTACTGTGAGCAGATGTGTGAGGGACGTGGACTCAGGGCAGCTCCAGAGTCCCTGAGGATGGGAGTTGCCGGCACAGAGCTCCCCTAGGGCTTCCTGGAGCCAGCCCAGCTGGCAAGGCAGTGTGTCCATAACTTGTTCAGTGCTAACAGAGGCCACAGAGGCAGCTGGGCCTGCAGGAAGCCCAGGGGAGGGGCAGGATGGGGAAAGTGGTTATCCCTGTGGGGCTGGTGGGACACAGGCCTGAAGTTTCCGGCAGGCAGGAGTCCCAGGCTCAGCTAAGGGCAGCAGGTCAGGCCAAAGGGAAGTGACGACCAGACTTCCAAGTGCCTGCTTTGGCCTCAGAGGAGGCCGAGGAGGCGGAGGCCTGCTCAGGTCACATGGCATGCTGGCTCTGACAGTGAAGGCCTATAAGCCTGTCCTGGCCACCCTTGGATGCTGTCTCAGCCCCAATGGAGTCCCTACCCCTACTCCGTCCTTTGGATGCATCGAGCTGGATGCTGGATTTTTCTCCCTGGGTAGGAGGTGCTTAAAGGCATGGATGAGTGGGGGAGGTTCTGGTGGGACCTTGGGGTGAACTGAGTGCTTCAACCTCTGTGAGCCTCAGTTTCCCCATGTATGAATGGGGGAGGCAAGAATTCCAGCAAATATTAAGCCCTGTCTGTGTGCCTGGCCCTGGAGCAGGGCAGGTCTGCCAATGGGGCTTGGGCAAGTAGCTTCCTTCTATCCATTCCTGCTGGGGCAGCAGGCTCAGGCACCTCAGTGGTGGGGGTAAGGGGCCCAAATTCAGCTGCCTGTGCTTTTGGGGCCTGGGCTTCCTTCCTCCCTGGGGCAGTGGCTTCTTGGTGCTGACACTGAGCTGGTTTGGGGCTCTACTGCTCTCATTTTGCCTGCTCAGGGTTTCCACCCAGTCTGCCCTTTCCTGAGTGGGGGAGGGCTGGCATCCAGCTCTGAGTCCAGCCTGCCAACCTGGGCCCACCTTTAGTGCTCCAGCCCTTGCCAAAGCCAGTGCCTGGGATTTAATATCCCAGTTTTGTTTTTGCTGGATCTCTTTGTACCGTTATCTTCTACTACTTGGAAAATGACACGGTTTTTCCAGTTTCCTTGGAGAGATAACATTTCCTGTTAAAATATATGAATTTCAGTGGAAAATAAAGGAGAGCTCATTTGAGACAAATTGTGAAGTAAACAGCACAGGTGGGCCACAGAGGTATGGTTGAATCTGGCTCTGCTGTGGGCAGGCTATGTGACTTCTCCACTCGGTGCCCCCTCGGCCCCCACCATGAGAGTGTATGATGAGTATACAGGGGTGCTGGAAAACATTCAATTCTGGGAGTTGTCACAGAACCATAGAAAGAACCCAGAGCAGTTCTGGGAACATAGAAGTGCCTAGTGTGGGTTCTCAGCACACATGCACACCTCCCCCCTAGGCTGGAGAAAGAAATTGAGGTGCTGGAGAGTGGAGACACCGTCCCTGCTGTAGTGAAGGAGAACTCGACAGCCCCGAGCCCAGCCCGGGCCCTGGCCCCCAGCCCGGCCAGGGAAGAGCCCAAGGCAGAAGTGGTATTGAACTCCCAGCAGGTAAGGTGATAGGAATGGCTCCTGGGGTGCCTGCACCTGCTGGCCACAGAGGGCGGCCTTGCCCCTTCCATGTCAGCACAGCTGAGGGGGATCAGCACAAACTAGAGCTATAGCTTGGATTTGAATCTCAACTTGGCCACTTCCCAGCTGTATGATCTGGGACCAGTTGCTTTGCCTCTCTGGGCTGTTGCTGTAGGATGGGGCAGCAGTCAGTGAATTAATGGACAATAAGGTCTTTACACAAGACCTGACACCAAGGGAGATTTCAACAGATGCCACCTACTCATCAATTCTGTTGTTATTTTAATAGAGCATGAGCACATGTATCTCATTGTCTAATTCTCCTGACAGCCCTTTTCAGCTGTGAATGGTGTCCTCATTTGATGGACATGAAAAGCCTACCAGTGGTTCTCAACCTTCCTAATGCCTCGACCCTTTAATACAGTTCCTCATGTTGTGGTGACCCCCAGCCATAAAATTATTTTCGTTGCTACTTCATAACTGTAATTTTACTAATGTTATGAATCAATGTAAATATCTGATATGCAGGATGGTCTTAGGGGACGCCTGTGAAAGGGTCATTCGACCCCCAAAGGGGTTGCGACCCACAGGTTGAGAACCACTGGCCTAGGCCCAGGGTGGTTGAGAGACTGGCTTAAGGCAACACAGCTAAGTGGTCTCTATAGAACTTACCCATTGATTCTGGGATCTGATATCTGTACCAGGCTGTGTTAAATCAGACCTCAGGCCAGGTGTGGTGGCTCACACCTATAATCCCAGCACTTTGGGAGGCTGAGTTAGGAGGATCGCTTAAGGCCAGGAGGTTGAGGCTACAGTGAGCTATGACTACACCCCTGTACTCCAGCTTGGGCCACAGAGCAAGACCCTGTCTTTACAAAAATACCAGTCCTTGTAACTCTGGACTCTAAGCTTGTGGCTACCGAAGTGTGTTAATGCAAATTCAGAAGTGTCCCAAACACATTTGTTGTCTTTGGGGCTCAAGGGCCTGTGAGACATGCCTTCCCTCTCCCAACCCCATTGTGATGGGAGGGACATTGCTGGCATCTGGAAGCAATGTGTCCTCTTCTAGCCTGCTCCTCTGATGTTGGTCTGGACCTCTGCTGATCCCTGCCCACACTGCTTGCCAAGGCCTGATTTGGTGGAGACTAGAAGGATTAGACCCAGCTCTGGCCTCACTGAGCTCCTACAGGGTGTGCAGCTGGACATGTATCAGTCAGTCACACAGGGAAGGTGGTTAAGCCTATGACGGGAGAACACAAGACACTGTAGTGCCTGACTCATAGGAGGCCTCCACAGGTTTCCTAGAGGATTTGGGTTTTGAAGGTTGAGTAGGAGTTCTCCTACATTTACAGAATGTAAATTGGTACATTTGCTGAATGTAACTTGGCCATGGACTATGTGCTGGCATGGGAGATACAGTAGTACACATACATGGTCCCTGCCCTCATGATGTGCACATCTTGGGTGCGAGACAGGCCCTGAGTGAATGAATAACACAGTAACTTCAGGAAACAATGAGAGTCCAAGGACACAGCCCAGTCACATGGTAGGAGAAGGGGTAGATGGTCAGGGGGGCTAGTGAAGAGCCAGCCTAGCCCAGATCTGGGGAGGAGGCTTCCACATGGAGAGAACATCACACATGAAGACCCTATGGCAGGAATGCATTTGAGAAATAGCAAGGTGGCTCAGTGCCTGTGGCTCAAGTGGCTAAGGCACCAGCCACATACACCTAAGGTGGTGGGTTTGAATCCAGCCCAGGCCCGCCAAACAACAATGATGGCTGCAATCAAAAAATAGCTAGGCATTGTGGCAGGCGCCTGTGGTCCCAGCTACTTGGGAGGCTGAGGCAGGAGACTTGCTTGAGCCCAGGAGTTGGAGGTTGCTATGAGCTGTGATGCAATGGCACTCTACCCAGAGGGACAGCTTGAGGCTCTGTCTCAAAAAAAAAGAAAAAGAGAAATAGCTAGGTGGCCTGGGAGGCTGGGCAGAGGTAGGGGAGAGAGGAAGGGGAGAATTGTAGGGAGGGGACCAACCACCCAGGGCCAAATTGGGTTAGACAAGAGACAGCACCTAGGAGGAGACTGGCTGGATTCAGGGTCACCTGCCAGCCCTGCTGCAGAAAGGTGTATGGGAGGAGGAAAAGAAATTGAAGATGACCACTAAGTTTCTGTCTTAAACCCCAAGAGAGGAGGGGAACCACGTACATCTGGCATCACCCACTGTGCCAGACTCTTCCCAAGTTCCTGACCTCATAGGTGGGGACTCTGGTCAGTGGGAGTCTGGCGGAGCACCAGCACCCCTGATACCTCTCTTTCTTTCTTGCAGACCCCGGTGGGCACACCCAAAGGTAGGGCTTCTGGAAGGGATATGTGGGGTCTTGGCGCCCTCTGGTGGCCTGAATGGGATGGTAGGGTGGGGAGGGCACCCAAAGAGTAACTGTTGTTACTAATAAATAACAATAATAGCAACAATGATTCATTGTTGTTATTACTCTTCTTGACCCCTGGGTTTGGGCCTGGGTCATGCCAGCATTCTTCATTATCATACACACTTGCAAATATTTCACATCTCAATGACATTTAAATATATGTTCTTGCCAAGCAGTGTCTCGTACTTGTAATCCCAGCACTTGGGAGGCCAAGGTGGGTGGATTGCCTGAGCTCACAGGTTCAAGACCAGCCTGAGCCAGAGCAAGACCTCATCTCTAAAACTACCGGTAGCTGGGTGTTGTGGTGGGTGCCTGTAGTCCCAGCTACTTGAGAGGGTGAGGCAAGAGAATCGTTTAAGCCCAAGAGTTTGAGGTTGCTGTGAGCTGTGACCCCGTAGTACTCTGCTGAGGGTGACAAAGTGAGACTATCTCAAAAATAAATAAATAAATAAATATTCTTACCTGGGGTAGGGGCTCACACCTGTAATCTTAGCACTTTGGGAGGCTGAGATGACTGGATGGTTTGAGCTCAGGAGTTCAAGACCAGCCTGAGCAAGAGTGAGACCCCCTTCTCTATTAAAAAAAAATAGAGGGTAGCCATCTGTGGCTCAAAGGAGTAGGGTGCCAGCCCCATATGCCAGAGGTGGCAGGTTCAAACCCAGCCCTGGCCAAACATTGCAAAAAAAAAAAAAAAATAGAATAACTAGGCGTTGTGGTGGACACCTGTAGTCCCACGTACTTGGGAGGCTAAGGCAAGGGGTTTCCTTGAGTCCAAGAATTTGAGGTTCCTGTGAGATAGGCTGGTGCCATGGCACTCTACCCAGGATAATAAATAAATATTCTTTTCTGGAACAATAATTGTTTCCAAATATATGTATACATATATGCCAGCCTAGACAGCATAGTGGGAACACATTTCTACAAAAGTTAAAAAAAATTGGCTCAGCGCCTGTGGCTCAAGCGGCTAAGGCGCCAGCCACATACACCTAAGGTGGCGGGTTCGAATCCCCATCCCAGGCCGCCAAACAACAATGATGGCTGCAACTAAAAAATGGCCAGGTGTTGTGGCGGCGCCTGTGGTCCCAGCTACTTGGGAGGCTGAGGCAGGAGACTCACTTGAGCCCAGGAGTTGGAGGTTGCTATAAGCTGTGATGCCATGGCACTCTACCCAGGGGGATAGCTTGAGCCTCCGTCTCAAAAAAAAAAAAAAAAAAGGTTAAAAAAAATTAGTGTGGGCAGCGCCTGTGCTCAGTGGGTAGGGCACTAGCCCCATATACCGAGCGTGGCGGGTTCAAACCCTGCCCCAGCCAAACTTCAACAACAACAAAAATGGCTGGGTGCTGTGGTGGGTGCCTGTAGTCCCAGCTACTCAGGAGGCTGAGGCAAGACAATCACCTAAGCCCAGGAGTTGGAGATTGCTGTGAGCTGTGATGCCATGGCACTCTACCAAGGGTGATAAAGTGAGACTCTGTCTCTTAAAAAAAAAAAAAAATTAGCCAAGCAAGGTTGTGCATACATGCAGTCCTAATTACTCTGGAGGCTGAGGCAGGAGGATTGTTTGAGTCCAGGAAACTGCAGTGACCTATGATGATACCACTGTACTCTAGCCTGGGTGACAGAATATGACCTGTTCACACTACCCTGAGCAGGAGCAAGACCCCGTCTATAAAAATAGCCAGGCATTGTGGCTGGTGCCTGTAGTCTCAGTTACTTGGGAGGCTAAGGCAAGAGGATCACTTGAGCCCAAGAGTTTGAGGCTGCTGTGAGCTATGATGATACCATACTACTCTACTCAGGGTGAAGGAGTAAGACTGTCTCAAAGAAAAAAAAGAAGAAATTTTAAAAGATAAGAAACATATGGGCCGGGCGCAGTGGCTCATGCTTGTAATCCCAGCACTTGGGAGGCCAAAGCGGGTGGATTGCTTGAGCTCAGGAGTTCAAGCCTGGGCAAGAGCAAGACCCCATCTCTAAAAAAAATAGCCAGGCTATGTGGCAGGCACCTGTAGTTCTAGCTACTTGGGAGGCTGAGGCAAGAGAATCACTGAAGCCCAAGAATTTGAGGTTGCTATGAGCTGTGACACCACAGCACCCTACTGAAGGCGACAAAGTGAAACTATGTCTCAAAAAAAATAATGTATTCTTAGATATATACAATAGCTCTTTACATATTTTGTTAAGTCTTTCAGCATAGTAAATTTGTTAAATATAAATTATATCTTTAAAATATACTTTAAACATGTGTGTTTGCAAATCTAAAGCTCAGAATGAGCCACCCGCTGGAGTTGACAGTGGCGCCTTCAGGCCTGTTTCTGGCCTGATTCATTGTGCATTAATAATTTATAGGGAGAGTGTCTCCTTCTCTTGCTGTAGAATTAAAAATTAATAATTTACAAAAAATCTACACAGGCCTCTCAGGGATTTTGTGAAAATCATTGGGCTGAGAAATAAGAGTGGATTATGGGGCTTGGTGTGTGTTTGGGGGTCCAGGTGCATGTGTATGTGTCTGGGTGGGGCTTGGGGAGTCTGGGTGCACGTGTGTGAAAGGGTTTTCAGGTGTCTGGGGGAGGGATCATCCCTCCTCTGATCTCTCTCTCTCTCTCCACCCTCTACCTCCTGCACAGAGAAGCGAGTTTCTAACACCCCGGTGAGGACAGTTGAAGGCTCCACCATGATGAAGGCAGGTGGGTTGGCTCCCAGGCTCTGACCTCTAAATCCAGTCACCATCCAAGGCTGTATCTCAGTCTTCGAGGGATACCTGGTGAGGTGGGGGTGACACACACCCACCCTCAGCAGTGTGGTGGTGGCTGTGATTATAGAGATGGCGGCTGGACAAAGCTGGTGGCTCTGAACCTGGGCTGGGCCCTGGATACCCCCTCTGCTTTGGTGCCTTGGTCATGCACAGGCCCATGCTTCCCTGAGAAGGTGGGCCTTCACGCATGGAGGCTCTAATCTGATGCCCCTCATGCAGCTTTCATTTCACCTTAACCTCAAGGCTTGCTCCTGGCTCCTGGGTCCTGGGGAGGGGTATGTGTGTTGGGGAGGGTGCTCACGCCTGAACACACCTGAACATGCTCGCTGCAAATCCTACCTGCTCCACAGTCCTTGGGAAGCAGGATTGGCTGCCTTGGAAGAGAGAGTGCCCTGTCCCTGGAGGTAACCAAGCCAATCCTTGGGATTGCTGCTCTTCTAAGAAGCTGGGGGAAGTTGCAGTTAATGCTAAGCATCATGCAGTGCCCACAGTCAGGATTCAAGTCTCCTCTCTCTGAGTAATATGTGGTACCTTGAATTTCCCCACCAGACAGAGGGGTGGGATTGTACTTGCTGGCACAAAACAAGAGCAATAATGAAGATAAGCCATAACTGTTGTTGTTGAAGTGGAATAACAGAAAACCAAGGAAAGGATGTGAAGACAGATTCAGGGCTGGGTGGCCAGATTGTGACCATGCCATAGGGAGAGAGGGCCAGGTCTTCTCACAGTCTGTAGCAGGTTTTGCCCCAGGTGACACAAAGTGAAGGTAGCATTTCCAGGGTGAGGGTGCCTTCAGGGCCTCTGTGATAGATTGGTCCTGGCTAACACCAAGGCCGGGTGCTCCATAGGTTGCCTCAGCCAGGACTTTGTGCAGTATACAATCTTCTCAACTGTGTGAGCAGCCCTAGACATAGATGTTTGGGTATGGAGGTGTTAGGCTGTGCAGGGACATGGGATTGAATAACATTCATTCATTCAAGTGCTTATTGAGCTCCTACTTTGTGCCAGGCACGAGGATCACAGCCTGAGGAAGCCTATGCAACTAACTTATTGAGAAGTCAGCTAGGAGAGTGGGGAGCTGGAGGAAGGAAGCAATTTAAGTCAGAGGGCTCAGGGGAGGCCTAACTTAAGAGGTGGCATATAAGCAAAGACCTAAAGGAGGGAGCAAGACATCCAGATATCTGGAAGAAGGATGTTCCAGGCAGAGGGCATAGCCCATGCAAAGGCCCTGGGGCAGGACAGTGCCTGGCCTATTGGAGGCACAGTGAGACTGGAGCAGAATGAGGAGGGAGAAAAGGAAGAGAGAAGGACAGGGAGAAATTAGAACAGGTCATACAGGGCCTGGTGGAAGGACTTTTCCGCCAAGGGAGGAGGGAGGTAAGAGCCATGAAGGGCTATGGGCAGAGCAAGGATGAGCCCAACAGGTGCTCATAGGCGCCCTCTTGTGGCTTCAAGGAGAACAGACCATGGGTAGTGCTGGGAGAGCAGGGCAGGGTGAGGGTGGGGGTCTACAGATGCCCAGGCCTGTCCCAGGAGGGGGTGCAAGGGGCAAGCAGTAGGCCCTTCCGGTGTTCTGAAGATGAAGCCCCCTCCAGGTTATATGGATGGACAGGTTGTGGGCATGAGAGAGAGGGAGGGGGTGGGGAGGACAGAGCTGCTGGGATGGGAGCAGATAGGGAATGGGGTCTTCAGTGTAGTGAATGTGGGGCTCCCATGGGACTCGAATGGCAGGTGGTTGTGGGAAGAAGTCCAGGGAGAGGTCAGTGGAGATGGGTAAGTGGGTGTTGTGGGCATGTGGTAAAGATTAGAACCAAATCCTGGGTGAGGTCCCCAGCACAGAGTGGAGTCCAGGGCCCAAGCTGGAGGGCAGGAGGAGAGAACCAGGTGACCATGGGCCCCAGCACTTGGCATTGCCTCTTCCTCTTTGAGCACACCTGGGACCGCAGCTGTTAGGATTCAAGTCTTCTGTGTGGTTTTTGTGGTGATGATTTTTACAGTGCAGGAACAAGATGCTGGCCTAACAGGTAGTGACAATTGTCTGTCTTAAGTGGGAATTATTCATTCTTTGTGTTGACATAGTTGACAGAAAAGAGATGTGATGGCTAGGTGCCTGTAGCTCAGTAGTTAGGGCCTCAGCCACATAAACCAGGGCTGCTGGGTTCGAACCCGGCCAAGGCCTGCTTAACAATGACAACAACAACAAAAATAGCTGGGCATTCTGGCAGGTGCCTGTAGTCCCAGCTACTTGGGAGGCTAAGACAGGAGAATTGCTTAAGACTAAGAGTTTGGGCTCAGTGCCTATAGCTCAGTGGGTAGGGCACCAGCCATGTACACTGGAGCTGGTGGGTTTGAATCCAGCCCAGGCCTGCCAAACAACAATGACAACTGCAACCCCCTTACCCCCTAAAATAGCTGGGTGTTGTGGTGGGCACATGTAGTCCCAGCTACTTGAGAGATTGAGGCAAGAGAATTGCTTAAGCCCAAGACCTTGGGCTGTGACGCTGTGACACCATGGCATGACATAGTGAGACTCTGTCTCAAAAAAAAAAAGAAAAGGAAAGAGATGTAAGAGATGTAATGTCCAGAGGGCCAGGAGGGCAGAGATTGGGCTGGGGCTATGGGTCTATAGACATGAATTCAAATCTTATGTGTGACACTGCGTGGAATAGGGCTTCCTTCTGATTCACTGTGGGCCTCTGAGAAAGCAGGAATAATGAGGGCTTTCCAGTTGCGAAAAGAACCTGGGATAGAACCTGGACTTGAGGGACCAGAGAGTAGTGGCCAAGTGGAAGGGACAGTATGCTGAGGGTTGAGGGGCCAAGGATGGACCTTGAATGCCAAGCCAAGGAACTCAGACCAGACACTCTGGGCACTGCGGAACTGTGGAAGGTGTCAAGCTTGGGAGGGTCAGGTCAAGATGGTGCCCCTGGCATCCCTAACCTGACCCGCCCCATTGCTGCTTGGCTCTGTGCTGCTGGCTGCCCCTTTCCTAGCTTGGTGGCAGCCCGGTGGGGGGCACATGGGTGGGCGGGCTGTGGCATAACCCCATGACTCTTGTGCCAGCCATGTACTCAGTCGAGATCACTGTGGAGAAGGACAAGTTGACGGGGGAGACCCGGGTGCTGTCCAGCACCACGATGCTCCCTCGGGAGCCCCTCCCTCAGGGCATCAAAGTCTACGAAGATGAGACCAAAGGTACGAGAGCCCCTGCCCCTGCCCCTACCCCTGCCCCACCACAGCCTGAGCCAGAGGCCTGAGCACATGTGACCATGGCATGGACTTAGCTTCTGCCCTCATCCTTCTATCTGGAGCTCATGAATAATTCATTCAAGTAATTATGATTGTGATAAAGGTTATATAAAATCTCAGAAACATACAGGGGGCCAAGAGGGGATCTCACAGGGCAGGGAGAAGGACAGGACAGGTATCTTAGTGGAAATGAGGAGGAGCTCATAGGAGCACAGCAGGGGATGAGGAATAGCCACAGCACATGCAAAGGTCCTGTGGTGGGGTGGAGTTTGCTGAGGCTGGTGTGGAGTAGAGGGAGGATCATGTCCAGAGGGCCTTGGGAAGCCTTGGGATGTGGGGTTGAGCCCAGACTGCAGTGCTGAGATCTGATTTGGTTTTAAGGGCTCCTTCTGGTGGCCAAGGGGAAGCAGGGCATGGTAGATGCCCACAAGGAAGCTGGGAATTCCAGAGGAGCAGGAGAGCCTTTGACAAAAGCCCCAGAGTGTTTCTCTCATTTTTTCTTGAGAGATAATTCATGAACCATAAAATTCAGCCTTATAAAATAGATGATTTAGTAGTTTTGGTATGTTTGAAATTGTACAACCATCACCTATCTCTAATTCCAGAGCATTCCATCACCTAAAAAAGCAGCCCCATCCCCATCAGCAGTTAAGGTTAGGGCCCCCCATCCTCCGGTGACCACAAATCCACATCCCATGTCTGTGAATCTGCCTGTTCTGCCCATTAAATGGAGTCACACACTGTGTGTCCTTCTGTGTCTGGCCTCTCTCACTGAGCACAGTGTCCCAAGGTCTGTCAACAGTGCAGCCTGGGTCAGAGCCGCTTCCTTTTACATGGCTGAGTGGTGTTCCATGATGTGGGTGGACCATATTGGGTTTATCCATTTATCCTACAATGGACGCTTAGGTTGTTGTGACCCCTTTTAGCTTTGTAATGCTGTACAAGTTTTTGTGTAGGCATATATTTTTATTTTTATTGAGTGTCTACCTTGGAATGGAATTGCTGGATCATGTGGTGACTCTTGTGTTTAGCTGCTTCATGAATCTCCAAACTGTTTTCCATAGCAGCTGCACCATGTCACATTCCCATAAACAGTGGATGAGGGCCCCAGTTTCTCTACATCCTCCCCAGCACTTGCTATTGTCCATTATTATTGTTGCCATCCTAGTGGGTGTAAAGTGGTTTTGATTCCCAGAGCCCCATGTCCTTAGAGGCAGCTTGGACCTCTGGAGTGTTCAGGATGCTATTAGAGGGGTCTCATCATAGCCCAGCTTGGGGTGCTTTTGGGGTGTGGACCTGATTGAATCCTGGCTACTGCTCTCACTGTCCTGGGGCCTTGTGTTCTAGACAAGAATGACCACAAAGAGATTCATCACTGAGTCCACTTCTTTGCCTTAACGAGCCCCTGGGGATTCAGGACCTGCCAGACTGGACTCTGGTTGCTTAGCAATGGGAAGGTGATCTGTTTCCATGGCAGCCAAAGGCTCTGATGCCTATCTTGGGGCAGCGGCTAGTAAAAACACTTATCTTGCTTTTGTGACCAAGACATAGCCCACCCTCTGGGCCTCCAGCCCAAAGTCACTAGTAGGTTCTGAAGCCTGTACAGGCTTCCCCAGGGATATGGAAACAGAGCACTTTCCTCCTGGGTTAAAGCTGGGGACAGAGTCCTTGTTTGAGAGTAGGTGAGTCCCTGAAGCTACCTGTTGGGTCCCCACCACCACAACTAGTGTGGCCTGGGAAGCTGTGTTTCTAGAAGGAATGTGCAGGGCTATGATGTAAGGCTGGCATCAGACCATGGCTATGAGTCCTTCCAGAATGCTGAAATCTCATTCTTAGACAGTACAGCACAGTTCGGGAAATAACAAATCAAAGCGGGATGAGTAAATGTGGAAAAGATTGAGGGAACACATTTAACAAGATTGAGTGTGTAGGGAGAATGGGTGGAGGGAGAGTAATTGGTAGGACCACACCTATGGTGTATCTTATAAGGATACATGTGAAATTTACTAGGTGTAGAATATAAATGTCTTAACATAGTAACTAAGAAAATGCTGTGACGGCTATGTTGACCAGTTTGATGAAAACATTTCAAATTTGGGGTGGTGCCTATGGCTCAAAGGAGTAGGGCTCTGGCCCCATATGCCAGAAGTGGCAGGTTCAAAACCAGCACAGGGGCTCAGCGCCTATAGCTCAACCGGCTAAGGCGCCAGCCAC